GTTGATACGGATCTTCCAGCTGTTGAAATATTCAGACAGCACGTCTAGGCCTCTCTGAAGTTTGGCAGTCAGAGCTCCGATGACCCTACCCTTGTAGACGATGGATGTGTCATCTGCGAACAGAGACAACGATCCACCATCAGGGAGAGCCGGCATATCGGAGGTGAACAGGTTGAATAGAATGGGGCCAAGGATGCTTCCTTGTGGTACCCCGGCACCGATGTTGAAAGCATCCGATGTGATGCCATTCAGAGAGACTCGGAACGTCCTGTCCGATAAGTAGTTCACTAGGAAGATTGGAAGACCGTACTGCTGCAATTTGAAAACCAGGCCATCATGCCAGACATTGTCGAACGCTTTTTCAACGTCCAACAACGCCATGGCAGATGTTTTCGAAACAGACTTGTTCCGTCTGAGAATGTTTGTCACCCGAGTCAACTGGTGGACGGTCGAACGACCTTTCCGAAAACCAAACTGTTCCTCGAGTAAGATGTTGTTTTGTTCGGCAGATGTTAGGAGCCGGTGGTAGACTGCTCTTTTTAACAGTTTTGATAACCCTGAGAGAAGGCTGATTGGTCGATAACTTGAAGGAGAGGACGGATCCTTCCCAGATTTTCGGATGGGTATGACTTTAGCTGACTTCCAACACGAGGGGAAGAAGCCCAGTCTGAGGCACTGATTAAAAATCAGTGCCAGATGGTTGTAGAATCTGGAACTCAAGGGGCCTTCATGTTTTAGATGATTTGATAAAGGCCAACAGTTCGTCAGCCGTAATCTCAGATTCCTCTGGAAAAATGTTAGGAATCTGATGAAGATTGGTTGCATTTTCAGCAACCTCAGATTCATGAGGGCCGACGATGTTTTGTCCGAGATTATGGGAGCTGACGAAGTGCTGACCTATCGCGGCAGCCTTCTCTTCAGGAGTTATCAGATGAATCTCTCACGCCAAAGTCACGAGTTCAAATCGCACCCCCGGACAAGTCGCGAATGACCCAAGAGTGTTAAAGTGACTTTAATATAATGCACAATCTGGGAGAGAGCGGATCTTGTTAGCAAAATCTTGATTTCTGAGGTCCACCATCCTGGCTTGGATGGTTTTTGTAAGACGATTGCAATGGGTCTTCAAGACACGTAAGTTACGTAAGAGTTACGGAGTCTGATGAGATCTTTGGTAATTCTATCAAGGTTCATAGTATTGCTCACCTGTCTGGATACTGGCACTTGTTGTTCCCTGGCGCGGGATATCGCCTTCTCGATGGAACGCAGACACCAGTCAACGTCTTCGGGCGTCTCCGGAAGGACACCGTAGTCGACAGTGGAGTCGACACAGTGTTGGAACTGCTCCCAGCTGACACGATGGTAGTTGCGTCGGGAAGCTTGGATTCGGTTGATGGATGAGCCTACTTCGGCCACTACCGGATAGTGGTCCGAACTCAGCTCCTGATGGGTCACAGGTAGCGAGATGTTGTCTCCCATGTTGCTGATGAAGATGCCTATCGTGGAGTGAACGCCAGACCGGCTCAACCGGGTGGGACAGTCCGGCGCTAATATGGCGCAGCGAGCCTCTTGCAGGTCGTCGTTCAGGATGGTGCCGTTTTGGTTGCGTCGACTGTTGCCCCAAGCCTGGTGTTTGGCGTTCAGGTCGCCAGCGATGATGTACTTTTCGCGCCTTCGAGTTAGTTTGATGATGTCCCTCCGCAGGACTGCTGCCGACCCGTCCCTGATGGTGACTTGCTTGGGGCAGTAGGTCGCAATGATGGTGATAGGCCCGACAGGAGTGGAGACTTCTACCCCTAAAGCTTCGATGTAAGCCGACAGAAGATGTTTCTCCTTACAGCAATGGCCACTCCTCCTCCCCTGGAGTTGGTTCGATCATTGTCTTAGAAGCCGGAAGTCAGGAAGGTAGATGTTTACCTCCGGTTTCAGGTGGGTTTCGGCGATAACGGCAATGTCGATGTTTTGTTTGTTGAGGAAGTCAACGAGCTCGATGATCTTGCTGTTGAGCAAGCAAGCGTTCCAGTTGGCGATCTTGATGGTTTCACGGTCCATAACTTAGCATGAAGGTAGCCACAGCTTGGAGCTGGTCGGATGTGTTCTTGATGGTGTTGGCAATGTCGTGCATCTTGAGGAAGATGATCATTAGTTCCGCTGCGGTGAACCACGAACCATCGTTGATTTCTGGCTGCGGTAGGGACGGTCCATCCTGACGCCAGTTTAGCCCAGGGGCTGTGGGGAGATCCTGCGGCTGTGGAACAGCGGTCGTCTTTTGGCCTGAGTTTGCAGGGACTCTGGCAGTTTGAACTTGAGCGGTGGCGGCCGCCGCAGCAGCCAATCGTTGGTTGAGTGGCAGCGGTGGCAGCACTGTAATCGGTCGTCGAGGTATCGGTGAGAAGTTCTGGTCATTAATTTCCGGTTTTGTGTTGTTTGCCACACTTGATGCAGCGGCTGACCATATGACAATTCTTCGTTCCATGCCCGAACAGCAGGTAGTTCGAGCATTGAGTGACTCCACGGCTGACCGGCTTGTACCGCTCCCACTTCACCACAATGTTGAACAGGACGCGGATGCCCTGTAGGTCCATGAAAGTTGTTGAGTTCTTCTCAAGGTGGACCAGGTATAGCTGGTCGCAGTACTTGACGGCCTTGTTGTGGCGGGCCATCTTGTGAATTTGGACCGGCTTCAGTCCATTAGCCACCAGCTCTTCCAAGAGGACGCTTGTGTCCATGTCGTATACTCCATGCAGGACCACCTTGAACGGCTTAACAGCCTCGATGTCGTGGGAGAAGTACTCCACCTGTGATTGGTCCGGTATGGTCTTTACCGCCTTGTAATATTTCAATGCCGGAACCATCAGTTTTTATCCTTCCGTGCACAGCTGGATGGTGCACCGGACGCCCTGCGTGATGAAGAAGTTTATTTTTTCCCGCAATCCGGGAGGGCAGCCCTTCACGTAGAAGGGCGGCATTCTGTCCTTCTTCGGCGGTCCTGTTGTTTCCGTTACCGGTTCTGCACCGTCCTTCAGAACGGAGAATCGATTGTTGTCGAGCAGCTTCTTCGCGGCTGTCGCACTGTCACTGTTGTCTTCAGGCCTAGACCGTTTCCCGGGATTGCCGGCACTCGCACCACCGCACGATTTTTTTTCCATGGTTGGGTTAGCGAGAGCGTCACTATTCAACGCCATTAAAAAAACGGAACAACGCAATCGAGCGAACGAAGAGAGCGAGAGTAAAGACGTCGACTGTACTGCTCAACAGTCTGGCAGCGAATGGTTGTAAGGTCGCATAATATCAGTGCCCACCCAGCTAAAGCTCCTCCCCTTTTTAGTTATTCTTGTAAAACTCCTTCTCTCAGCAAGTTGGTAAATTTTAGCCTCTAGCAGAAAGACACTTCCCGAGTAGCACACTTTCATCACAATAAGTTACAGCAACTTGTTTATGACTGAAATAAGTCGTATATAACCATGCTACTAGGGTTAACACTTTTTTCGGCGAATTTATGATCCTGTTTCATGTCATGGTTTTTCTCTATGCCTGTTCAGATAAATTAGTACTTTTATTTATTTTCTCTACTGCGTCAAATCAATCGATGTTGGTTACGCGCTCGAATAATTGAAAAATCTATAAATAGCAAGTGTAACCCAAGAACCAGAAGCGGTGCGATGCTAGTTTTCATTGCTACACTGAGGCAAATAAACATAAGAATTTCATAAGGCTCGACTGAACGACATATATGAATTTCATAAGCGTGACTTATGAATGATTTTCGTCTAACATTATGACGCCTTTAACCATATTATTTTCCCAAATGTTGAAAGATGAGTGGTCAACACACGGGTCCCATAATCTCAACGTCCATGGTTCGGTTCTAGTCTGCTCAAATTTATTATTTGTTTGTCAACATTATTTTTCATAATGCAAATCAATGAAATTCATACTGATTTCTTGTGGCTAAAATTCATAAGTGTTTCTTATTGAATTCTTACGTTCTTTTGCCTGCGTGTATGACGATGACTGAACTAAGGAGCTTAGAAGCAGAGGGGTGAAAGTCAATTCTCTTCATCGATTTCCTCTTTTGATGACCATGGCTTTCTGCTATACTCTTCTATCATCTAGAACAACAAACGTATCAATGAATGTGTTTGCCGTCGAGTAATTGACGAAACAGAAAGTCGATGAAGAGAATCGATCAAAATCATTTGCACCCCTGCTTCCAAATTTGGCTACAAGATTCTAAATTCCCTATCAAAATATTCATGTGGAACGACTGCGGTTGCTGAGATGTTCATGATTTAAGGTGAAAATTGAGCACAAAATCAGTAAAACTACTGTACATGAAATTGAAATAATGAAAGATTATATCAAGTTGAGTACATACATAAATAACTGATAAATTGTCGAGCAAAAATTCCATCCCGAAAAAAAATCTTTGAACTCCAAAATGTTAACCTCCAACGAACTGTAAAAAAAATAAATGCTATCCGCTGTGACCTTTATCCTTTGGTAGCGATGTAACCAAGCATACATCCAGGCGAACACAAAAAGAAAATCCCAAAATCATTGCCATCAAAAGGTTACTGCCAATGTGAACCACTACGACGACAACGACGCGTGGGTAATCACTTTTTTCGCCAAATTCTGTGTCTGTTCCGTGCATAAAAAAAGGTAAACAACCCCCCTCGCAACAGGATGTCTGGACGCCCACACATTGACTTGTCCGTTCGATCTTCTTATCGGTGACGTCAGTTGGGAAATCTCCCACTCATTATCCATAACTGAACAAAGAGAAATGGCTGCATAACTTTCCTATTTCCAACGCAATGGAAATAAATTACCGGTCGCCTTCTTGGAACCGACACCGTCGTCTAGTAGGCTTTGGCTTGGCTGTCATCTCCTGTTGCCAAGCAGTAATGCCGTAATGATTGTAACCCACTCACTCTCAGCCCTCGCCAGTTAGTCAATGCCAATGTAATGAAATTTTTCCTCTGTCTCTTTCATTTCAGCTATGATCCGGGTATGAGTGCCCAGGGGGGCTCCCTCTAGGGGCTCCATCATTGGGTGATCGAGTGCCACCCATGTGTGTGGTTCTCTAACGTCTTACCACAACGACCGTTACCATTCATAACTCAAAAAGGTGAGTATACTTCAATGAGCGACTCTTGACAGCATGAAAATTAAAATATGCATTCAATTGCAGAATTCCTAAGCATCGAGTGTTCTAAATGCGACGAATCAGTCAGTAATTACGCGCAAGTTGAAAGGTTCTAGCTCCAACGTAGATTCCGTTTGGGGAGACAATTTTGAGCAGGTTTCATCGGTAGCGCGATATGGTCGCAGCAGCCGGAGGACAGCAAGGCGGGATGGACGTCGGATATAATCCGCAGGTAGGAGCTATGGCGTTGAGATGATTGTGGCCCAATGTGTTCTAATGCTCGATTTTAACGCTTTTCACAGATGAACAACATGGCGATGCATTCGCAGGCGTCATGGAATCAGATGAACGGGATGAACCAGATGGGGGGCATGAACCAAATGGGAGGTGGGGGTGGTGGAGGAGGCATGAACCAAATGAGTCCCGGAATGAACCCCATGGGTCAGATGGGTGGTGGAAGTGGAGCGGGTCAAGGTGGAGTTGGAGTAGGAGCAGCAGGCGGTGGTGGAAATATGGGTGGTATGGGTGGGATGCAGATGAACCAGATGGGTTCGATGAATGGAATGGGTAGCTATGGTAGGCATCATCAGCAGATCAACCCGATGGCGCAGATGATGAACATGGGCATGGGAATGGGAGGCCAGATGGGACCAGGAACGGGGATGAACGGAATGAACCAGCTGAATAGTATGAATCCGCTTAATCAAATGAACCAGATGTCACCGATGTCGAAAATGCAAGGAATGGCCAATGGATATCCGGCGCATCCGAGGAGGATGGCTCCGTATCCGAATCCGCAGATGCAGATGGCGCAGAAACGGTCCATGTACGGGATGAGTCAGCAAGGAATGCCCGGGGCTGGTTCCCAATTTCCTCCTCATCAACCTACCGGAGTTCCTCTACCGATGCAAGCCAATACCGGCTACGGAAGGCACGGTCCTATGCCAATAAACTATCGGGCTCCTCCGATGATGCAGCAGCAGAGACAAAACACTCCTCCCTACAGCGCCGGCAGTGCGCACAGTCAACAACAGTATTATAACACGGGCTACCAAAATATGCAAGGCTACCAGCCGGACGTTCGGATGAACTACCAGCACAGTCCTGTGCCCGGAAATCCCACACCTCCACTCACACCCGCCTCTTCCATGACACCGTACATTAGTCCAAATCCGGATATTAAGCCAAACCTACCACACAGTAAGTTCAAATTATCCCTTCCCAAAGATCTTGTCATTTACTTAGCACTGACCTTTATCTTTACAGAAGATGAAGAACTCCGGCTCACGTTCCCGGTACGGGACGGCATCCTACTACCACCGTTCCGATTGGAACATAACCTCGCAGTCAGCAATCACGTTTTCCAGCTGAAGTCTACCGTGTACAACACGCTCATGTGTCGACCGGATCTGGAACTGCAGTTGAAATGTTTCCACCACGAAGACCGACAGATGAACACCAACTGGCCGGCCAGTGTTCAGGTGTCAGCAAATTCTACCCCGCTGGAAATCGACCGGGGCGACAACAAGAATACCCATCGGCCACTTTACCTGAAGCAAGTCTGCCAACCTGGGCGGAATACGATCCAGATCACGGTTAGCACCTGCTGTTGTGTAAGTGTTGACCTAACCTCAAATACACGGTGACGTTTCTTACTTATAAATCTGTTTCCATGGTTACAGTCTCATCTATTCGTGCTACAATTGGTGCATCGACCGTCGGTCAACCACGTACTGCACACACTTCTGAAGCGCAATCTCCTGTCTGCTGAACAGGCGGTGGCCAAGATCAAACGAAACTTTGCCGTTGGCCACACAACGAATCCCAACCATCCGCTCGGTGCAAACGGACTGGGTAACGATAAGGACTCGCTTGAACCCGCAACCTCCACAAAAGTATGTCATCCACCCGTATTCGGTTCTCGTTTATTTAATTATTATTTTGTATTTCATCGCAGGTCTCCCTCAAATGTACCGTAACCTCGAAACGAATAGCACTTCCAGCGCGTGGCCATGACTGCAAGCACATCCAGTGCTTCGACCTGGAAGCGTACCTAGCGCTTAACTGTGAACGTGGCAACTGGCGGTGTCCTGTGTGCAAGTAAGGCTCCCGAACCGTTTTCAACCGAAACGTAAAAATCTAACCTCAAAACTTACCTCCACACTTACAGTAAACCCGCGCTCACCGAAGGCCTCGAAATCGATCAGTACATGTGGGCCATCCTGAATACCCTCAACTCTTCCAACACCCCGAACGGAATGGACACGGAAGAGGTGGTCATCGATTCGCAGGCGAATTGGAGGGCGATAAAACCGGCCGGCGGAAACAATGGCATCAACGGTGGTTCCAGTACGGTTACCCCCGGAGGTTCGACTCCTGGAGCCGATGGAAGTGGCAACGGACGGGGCAGTTCGACTCCCGGACTCATCGGCATCAAACCCGACCCGGACGGGGATAGTAAGCAATTCAGTAAGGTTATGTCACCGGGATCAACGTCGCTTCCCACGTGGGACAACATGAATGCCATGAGCCCCTATATGAGCCCGGACATGAGCTCGATCGCCAGCGGAAGCATGATGGGATCAAAGTAAGTTCTTACTTTTAAGTTGGAATTGGGGAAGGAAATTAATAATTTGGTGTTCTTACTCACAGTTATAATCAGCGAACACAGTATGATACGTTCGGTAATACGATCAAACAGGAACCGAATACGAATGTGCAGAGCGGTGGAAACAGTAATGGACCTGGGACACCCGGTGATTTCGGCACAAACCCGCTGGCGCATTTAAGTGATTCAGTCAACTCGCTAGATCCTCTCAATGCCATGGAGAAGTCGCTAATCGATCAGGTATGTTTAGCCCAAGCTCCAATAATAATCCAGTGGAGACTGATTGCAAATTTTTCCCCCCACAGATGCCCCACACACCTCACACCCCACACACACCAGGTGGTGGAAACTCCCACCCTATGACGCCGGGTGGTCCGCCAAGCGTGCCACCGGCCAATGAAAACAACTCAAGTCAATCTGGAAATAGCGGTAACAACAATAGCAGTAGTAGTGGTAACAACAGCAGTAGTTCCAACAACTCCGGAAGCGGAAACAACAGCAACGGTAACCAAAATAGCAGTAACAGCGGTAGCCATAGCAACAACCCAGTAGCGAACAGCTTGATGCACTCGCCACAGCACCAACAGCAGGCCATGGGAATGGGCAACAATCCGGCGGCGAACATCATGAACTCGCCGCAGAGTTTGATGAACTCGCCGCAGAATATGATGAACTCACCGCAGAACATGATGAACTCGCCGCAGAGCATGATGAACTCGACGGCGAACAACCTGCAGCAGAATCTGATGAACACGATGAACTCGATGATGCAGAACCAACAGCAGCAGTGCAACAACAACCAAACTGGACTGGTCGGATTGACGGACGTGGATCTGCCGGCAGATCTCAACTTTGATCCGGCGGCCGTCATCGAGGGCGAGGGTGGCAACGATTTGAATGTAAGTACAGCTACTCCCCGTGGAGTACACGTAGCATATGGGATTTGACTTAATTGGTTCCAAAGTGGAATAACCCGGGATCACGGCGATATAGGTAGTTACTGTATTCGGCAAAGTTGTTCATGTGACTGAGGTCTCTAAGTTCAGAATGATGCCATTAGGCAGTGCTACCCAACAATCATTGGAAGCAGAATTAGAGCATAGTGCATTTGTGAGATTTACTATATGCTATCTGTTATGAACCTGGCTTTCTATGAAAATACAGTCTTGCACAAAGTTGTTCCATCGACGAAGACCTTCCACACGAGGAACAAATTAGCTTAGAATTCTTCCATTACGCGGCACTGCTGTTTATTTGGATTTTACTATCTGCTATATTTCAAGGAACTGGAAGGTGTCCTATAAGAAATCTAACATTTTTTTAATAAAGCACCCTACTGTAATTCTTAAAAAAAGTTATCTAATATACCTACATCTAGAATTAAGGTAATGCAGAAATTGGAATATTTCAAATTTCAAATTTCAAATTTTCGCACCACTATCCATTATCCTACCAAAATTTGAACTCCTTTAGTGAGAACCTGACTTGGCAAAAACCATTTGAAGTTTATATGGGAATTACTAAGGGGAAACCGTAATTTCGGTTCAAACCAATCTCAAAATTCACCAGTTTACTCTACAATAAAGAAATATAAATGAGTTTGTTGAAAATTTTCTCAACTACAACTTTGTTGAAGACCACTATTCGATCAAACGTAAGGAACCAAAATTATTAATTATTCATGTCACTGATGTCTTATGATTATGCTCAATCAACTGTTCAGCAGGCAACATTGGTGTTTATGGTGCGTAGAATAGAGGACAAAAATCATGGCTACTATGTCACACTGCAGAATACAGTGTTGCCCACAATACAATTGCTTAATCTTGCCATAAGATTATCAATCTCTCGAACAATTAATAACTATTTAATTTGACGTTTGGCTGAAAAACCTTGCAAAGTTATAGCTGATAAAAATTCCCATAAGAATAGCAATAGAATTTGTTAACAGTATAATATGTAAAAAAGCTAAAAGACAATGAACAAAAAGATTTGTTTTCCCATAGCAATTTCCATATAAACTTCAAATGGTTTGTGCCAAGTCAGTTTCTTATCAAAAGAGTTTAAACATTCGGAGGCTTACCAGGACCCGATTTCAAGCCGTTTGAACACTGTGGAGCAAAAATTTCAAATTTTGCATCAGTTGTTCAGATTTCATACGAACAAAAACCAAAAGATCCCGATCAATCATTCACAATTCGAAATAAATTAATCACATCCACTTCTCTCTTATCCCACACAAAATAGCTTCTTCCAGACAACGTAGTGGACCCGATGGAGCTGCTGTCCTACCTGGATCCACCACCGGACCTCAATACGCCACCCTCGAGTGGTTCCAGCAACAATGCCAACAGCGACGACATTCTGGCAGCACTGTTCGACTAGGGCCGCATGCCAGCAGTGTGACCATAGCAGACCATGGCAGGACGAGCCGGAAATGCAAACAAACGAAAATAATGCAAGCTGAAATGTGATGGGTTTTGTTTTTTGTTCTTTCAACTCACAACTTTAGCGAAAATGGATACGGAAATTTTGCTAAGCTGTCAAAATTGTTTATCGAAGCTAGTGGAAAGGTGAAGCAGAAGATGATTGTTTGTTTTTGTCCTAAGAAAAAGAGGGATACTATTTAAGCAAAATGTATGAAATGTGATTTCGAACGTGGCGCTAACCTAAGTTAATGAACAATGTTTACACACACAAAAAGAAAACAAACAAACAAACAAACCAGAAACGGATAATGAAAGGAACAAAGGAAAGGACCTGGAAAGTGATAGTCAAAAATGGTTTTTGGACCTCCCCCTCCCTCTTCTCCCTTAACACTGCTTTTTCGAGACGAAAAAGAACCACATGCTTATGGCATAAGTTTTTAAATTGAATATTTATTTTCCATGAAATAGTTTTTAGTCTTTTTGTAAAAAGGAAATTATTTATTTTGTACAAAAGAAAAACGAACATGTTTAGTATATTATTTGAACCTTAGTTTTCCGGGGAAAAATGGATCGACTCTGTTTTATAGAGATAAAAATGATCTTAAATAAATGATTTAATGGAGGAAAATAAGAGAATTGTTTAAGCGAAATGTTAAACTTAAAGATATTAAATTTTAATCAAAAATGTACAAAAGAATTAAGAAACTATTATATATAAATTTAATATATTAAAGCAAAACACATTACTAACTAAATTTAAACTAAGTCACTCACATACACGGACAGACACACACACACATTAACACATCCACATACACATACAAAACATATGCATTGAAGTCAAGAAAACCAGCAGACATTTAATTGATAGCAAAGGAAATCCAATTACTATACACGCAAAGAAAAACATAACACACACACTCACACATTCACACAAAATAAAAAAAAAATGGTTATAATTTTCGCTCTCTTAAATGTTTGTAGCGTAATCAAATTAATCGATCTGTATTTCGATCAAACCTAATACAATCTGGACGAATATTGACGTAAAATTGAGATAAAAAAACATCAGCAAATGAAAAGTAAACAAAGAATCACAAACAAAGACCTATTAATTGATTAAAAGAAAAAAAAAAGTAATAGAAAATAAACGGCTTCAACGTAGTGACCTTTGATTTTATTGTAAAGTAAACAAAACAAGTAGACAACAATGAATCGATCAATCAAGATGGCGCCAGCGCGAGGCCAGTATTTTTATATATTTCAAACCAAGTTGAGGACAGCAAAAATCAGTACCAGCATTTGTTCCTTTCCCAGCAATCACCATCATCACCATCATCATCATCATCATCATCGGGGACAAGAATCGTCACACTTTCGTTTCCCCCCGATCGCCCCATCGTCAATCTTCGTTCGCTTCAATCCGAATTCTGTTGATTCCGTTGCCTTGGTAACGGGAAAAAAAGAAACATTCTAAACCTCGAAAAGAGAACCATTCATGTGGTTCCTCTCTCGCGTAAGAAAGTTCCAAGCCTAAGCAGATAGTTATTTATTTTCTTTTATTTAATTTAGCAAACAAAAATCCTAACCAACCACCATGCGCGACCATAGTTAATCATTTTCTGTTTCCTGAAAATTAAAAACCACTATCATCCCATGCAGAGAAAGCAAAATTTTTACAACGTGATAGTCACTTAAAATTAAATCTTAAAAATTGTCAAACATTGATCAAGTATATTTTACAACAAAAGCAGTTAAACGACAACTTAAAAACAAATCAGTAAAAAAAAAACATTGATACGGAAGGTTTGGAATAATCAGAAGAAAAGAAAGAAACTTAATCATATGAACGAAAAGTGAATCAAAATTAAGAAAAAGAAACTAGCAAATGATTGAAATTTCCGAACGAAAATGCAACTATTTTACTCAGCAAAGTGAAGGATGAAAGCAAACTTTTAAACACACACATGACACCTTTCCATTCACAATTTTAATCAAGGAAAAAATGCGGCTCTTGTTGAAAACAATCGATTGAATTCTCCCCTCGCATCGGTTCTTTATTTTTCTCCCCGCACACCGAAGGAAGGATTTAAATGCAACACAGAAATCAGCAAGGTTACACATAGTTCATTAAGTTTCCCCAGCCCTCTCCCTCCCTCTGTATTATTTTGTACATATTGTCTATATTGAAGAAGTCACGAGAAAAACCACGAAAAGCAACACAATTGAAGTGGTTTAGTGAAGTGTAAAACAAACAAAAAAAAAACAGAACGGCAAAAAGTAATTGAAAATATTAACTTTAAATTAATTATATTTAAGATAAAAACAAAAACAACTATGAGAAAAGGAAAACAAATTTTGAAAATAATAAAAAGCAAAATGGTTTAAAAAATGATAATGAAATTCTGACTTCAGCCTTTATTCATTCTGCCACCTGGCAGCGTTTCGCATTCCCTACATTTCCATCACCAAAACAAAGCAAAGAAACATGCGAACTGTGTTTATGCAGGAAGTGCACAAAACCAAAACAAGCTGTTGCTGCGCCGATCGGGGCGCATTATTGCTGGGCTTTGCACGAAATGGTCAGCTCGGTACGGAATGAACGGTATAGCGAGTGGGGCACATTATTCCCAAGGCAGTTCTGACTCGGTCGCGGTACGGAACGGAACATACTTCACAAGCTTGGTGCCACGCGGAAAGCTTACCGGTCGGATGTTCGTCGTGAATCGTTTGAGTTGAACGTTGTGTTGAGAAGCGAGACAAAACTTAAAGATGAATCGTTGATATTCTGTTGTATGTACTAGTGAATCAGTGAACGAAACAAGTGAAGTCTGTACTGCATATGTACAAAATATAAGAACCCATTGACATCATTAAAACAGGAAGGAGTGGAAACAGTAATCACACATTAGATTTCTCCATAATGGATACCAACAAAACAGTTTCAGAAGGTAAGTTTCGCTGAGAGAAGTGCACGAGGTTCTAGGAAGTTTTGAACATAATTTTCAAAATTAACGAATCTCAAATAATGTGGTTATGCAATAGAGGCACGATGTTGAAAATGTTGATGGTGATGGAGAATTACGCCAAATGTATAGGCTTCAAGTTTGAAATTAAACAGCTCTACTAAAATTAAATTCGTTGAACAGACGTTTCAAAACAGTTTCTGAAAAAGCTGTTGTCTGGAAAGTGAATTCTGAATTATTTTTTTATAACTAAATCTCGCGAACGAACAGGAAAACTGTTTAAGTGTGTCATTAGTGTAGGAACGCACCATTATCGTTCGGCTCGTTGAACGCTTGTCTTTTGTCATTTGGAGATATTATTCGTAAATAACTCGGCTCCAAAAACATAATCAGCTGTTCTTATCGTCCAATACTCATAATAAGGCCGGAACAAATCTCAAGTTTGTCTTTTGTCTTAGAATATCACCATGTTCGTTCACAGATTTTTTTCATAAATTGGTACTAGACCTGTACGGCATAACAGGTCCTTGAAATCGGATCAACCGGTTTTAGTTGTTGAAAATGGATTTTATTGAAATCATTCCAAATCTTGTTTGGCAACTCACTAAGTAAGCCCCCTTCAATCTGATCGATCCCTTTTGTTCGCTGCGCAAATCTTCGTCTTGTTCCAATCGGGTCGCTACCAAGAGCCATTTTCATTGGGTCGTTATCCGACATTGTTACGATGTGCCCAGCCCGATTTTCGCATTCGATCTAAATTTCTTAGCTTACAAACCTGCTGCAATGCTACTTAATGTTTCAACTCTATTCTACAGTGATTCAACAATTTCCGAGTTAAATGCAATCTTTTCAAATTGGTTTAAATTTCTTAGAAGTGAGACTAAATCAGAAACGATTCATGAAATTCCTAATAGAGATGACACTTTTCAAAGCAGATTCAAAACTGAGTCGATTAAGTCATCAACATTTTTCTAACTGAGTCTTTCTGTTATCTAATTCAATCCTTTTTAAAGTTGTCAAAGCTTTCCTGAAGGATCCCGAACCCAAGCTTTAAAGAATTGGTTTCGTATTTTCTGGAGTGAGGCCACATTAGCTGATTTAATATCTTTCCTAAATGAATCCAAGATTTCCTGCATTGATTCAACTTTTTCCGAACTGAATCCAAACTTGTCGGAACGGGTTTAACATTTTCCTAAGTGAGCCCTGGATTTTTGTTAACTGCTTTGGTATTTGGCAAGGACACAGACTTTCCTAAAAGTGAGGAGAGTTTTCCGAAGTGAACCGACACTTTTTTGAGCTTAAATTTTCCAAACGGAGTCCAACCTTACCTTAGGTAGTCCAAACATTTCTTATGAGTAATTGAAGCATATTTAATGTTAGGCTGAGCTTTACTGAAGTAATTTAACTAACTTTTAATTTCATACCTGAGGTAGATTTTTTTAAGCATGCACAATTGTTGAGAAAAGTGGTTTTACATCCACAAAAGTATTTATTTTTATAGAAATTTGAGTTTCTTCGGCAGCCGAGTTGGATTTTGGCTCCGTCCTTTGAAAAACACTATTGGATTTTATAGAACAGTCCTTTGTGAGTTCATACACACAAAAAAATTTTTGCCGAGATGGGCACCACCGAGCAGCTTGGCATTTTATTTTGCTGGAAATTCAGCAAAAATATGTTTGTTAACTGAGATCTCGGCAAAATTCCCGTTTTTTAGCTGAATCTCGACCTGCTTGGTGGTGCCCATCTCGGTAAAAAAATCTAAGTGTGTTCGTGATGGTAGATTTTTTCGAAGCCAGGTTAGATTTCGGTTCTATCGTTTGAAATTTGTGCTTGGATTTTATAGAATGGAACTTGCTGAGTTCGTACGTGAAGGACCAACCTGGTTAATATTCACAAAAGTAGGTATTTTCATAGAAATTAGATTTTTCTGTTTTACCGAACTGAATTTTGGCTCCTATCTTTGAAAAATAGGCTTGTATTCTATAGAATAGAACTTGCTGAATCCATACGTGAGGGTTGAATTTCTCATTTTTTGAGAAAACCGAGTTAATATTCACAAAAGTACGTATTGTCATCAGGGCGTCACAATATCAGCTTCAATCGACCAAATCGATGCGATGAAGAGACTGCTGGCTTTCTTTTTCTGTTAAAGTCGAACAGCTTCGCAGCATTCTAGAACCTCAGTCGGCGTGCACAAACAAATGTTCAATCGCTTGTCTCTCTTTCTCCCGTCGCTCCATTGATCTTCCTTTCAAGCTTTGGTGAAACGGATGAGCGAAAAAGCGCTCGACTTTGATAGTTTTCTCTTTCATGAAACACATCAACAGAGGTTTCATGACGTATATGACGGAAAATGAAATAACGCATTTGAAGCATTTCTCACGTGAAAACACTTGAAGATTACACGTAATATTTTTAATTTATCTTCCATCCATATATTTATCTAAAAAAAATTATCGAAAACGGGACATAACGCATTTTGAACAAATTGAAAGAGCGGTGATAGAGTGTTCGTGAAAGGGGAATGAAAGCCAAAATGAGGTTTCGTTTAACTAGAAAATCGACGTTAGTTACATTGAAAGCGATGAGCAAAGCAACGACGAGAAGTTCCACAGCCAGCCTTTCCTTCTAAGCGTCCTGCTTTTTTATTTTCGTTTCTTTTTTTTTTTAACTCTTTATTTGTTCCAAATTCAAAATAAATTACATTTCATTTTAACCTAGGTGCTCCAGTTACTGCAGTAACGTACCAGCCTTAATTGTTATGATATATATCTAAGTGTTTTTACATTGTTCATGTCTTGGCAATTCAGTATTTTAAACAGGTTTTTTAACCTGCATGTCAGTATAACAATTGATATCTTAAAACTAAAAACTAAAACTAAATCTTATCTAAGTATAAAGGGAATTAATCGTTGCAATTGAGGATTGCAACGATTTTTGCCTGAAATTATTAATTATTTTGTTGGATATTTGTGCTAAAGTCTCAACATTCGAAATTCTATGTACTTCGGTTGTACTGTACCAGGGAGGCCACTTCAAAATCATTTTCAGAATTTTGTTCTGAATCCTTTGAAGTGCTTTTTTCCTGGTAGTGCAGCAACTAGACCATATTGGCACAGCGTAAAGCATGGCCGGTCTAAAAACTTGTTTAAATATTAGAAGTTTATTCGTCAGGCAAAGTTTGGATTTCCTGTTTATAAGAGGATACAAACATTTTATATATTTGTTACATTTGGCTTGAATGCCCTCAATGTGATCTTTAAAAGTTAATTTTTGGTCAAGTATTAATCCAAGATATTTCACTTGGTTTGACCAGGAAATTGGAACTCCGTTCATAGTGACTATGTGACTACTACTAGGTTTCAAAAACGAAGCTCTAGGCTTATGTGGAAATATTATAAGTTGAGTTTTGGAAGCGTTGGGAGAAATCTTCCATTTTTGTAAATAAGAAGAGAAAATATCTAAACTTTTCTGAAGTCTGCTGCAAATAACACGAAGACTTCTTCCTTTAGCGGAAATGCCTGTGTCATCAGCGAACAAAGATTTGTGGCAACCCTGAGGCAAATCAGGGAGGTCCGAAGTGAAAATGTTATACAATATAGGCCCAAGAATGCTACCCTTAGGAACTCCTGCTCTAACAGGTAGTCGATTGGATTTGGAATTTTGATAATTTACTTGAAGAGTTCTGTCAGTTAAATAATTTTGAACTAATTTCATAATATAAAGTGGAAAATTAAACTTTTTCAATTTAGCAATCAAACCTTCATTGCAAACACTGTCGAATGCTTTTTCTATGTCTAGAAGAGCAACTCCAGTTGAGTGGCCTTCAGATTTGTTTGAACGAATTAAATTGTTAACTCTTAAGAGTTGATGAGTAGTTGAATGCCCATGGCGAAATCCAAACTGCTCATCTGCAAAAATTGAGTTCGTATTGATGTGAAGCATCATTCTATTCAAAATTATCTTTTCAAAAAGTTTACTTATTGAAGAAAGCAAACTTATTGGACGGTAGCTAGAAGCTTCAGCTGGATTTTTATCCGGCTTCAAAATTGGAACAACTTTTGCATTTTTCCATTTATCAGGAAAGTATGCCAAATGGAAACATCTGTTAAATAATTTTACCAAGAAAGACAAAGTACTCTCTGGGAGTTTTTTGATGAGGATATAGAAAATTCCATCATCACCTGGAGCTTTCATATTTTGAAAATTTTTAGTTATAGACCTTACTTCGTCCAAATCAGTCCCCCAGGAATCATCAAAAATATTTTCCCGAGAGAAAATATTCAGAAAATCCCGAGCAACCTGATTCTCAATAGGACTAGTAAGACCCAAACTGAAATTATGGGAACTCTCGAATTGCTTAGCAAGTTTCTGAGCTTTTTCCAAATTTGTGATCAAAATTTTACCACCTTCTTTAAGCACTGGAATAGGCTTTTGAGGTTTTTTCAAAATTTTTGTGAGTTTCCAAAAGGGTTTGGAACTCGGGTCTAATTTAGAAATATTATTTTCAAAAGTTTTGTTCCTCAGGGCAGAGAGTCGCTTTTTAATTTGTTTTTGCAAATCCCGCCAGATAACTTTCATGGCAGGATCGCGTGTTCTTTTATATTGTCTCCTACGGACATTTTTAAGACGGATCAAGAGCTGAAGATCGTCGTCTATTATAATTGAATCGAATTTAACCTCGCATTTTGGTACTGAGGCAGCTCTTGCTTCAACTATAGAAGTAGTCAGAGATTCAAGAGCATAATTAATTTCATCTTTGGTTTGCAAAGGAATGTTTGGATCGAAGTTATATTCTATAAATGTTCGATACCGCTCCCAATTAGCTCTATGGTAATTGAAAGTAGAGCTGTTGGGATTAGAAATTATTTCTTGGGATATTTCAAAAGTTACTGGAAGGTGATCAGAACCGAAGTCAGCATGGGTAACCAATTGGCTACAAAGTTGACATGAATCAGTTAAGACCAAATCAATAGTGGAGGGAT